GCCTTGGTGATTCTGTCATAATGTTTTAACAGCTGTGACAGCCACGATCTTTTTGCCACAGCAAATGCATGTTGACTCGGCTTGTGGAGGTCATATTTTTCCATAGAGACAGTAAGTTGACGTCTCAGCAACTTTTCGATAACTTTAATAATGATGTGTGATGTTAGAGGGGTTACGTTTGCACCTTGTAAGGCCTCTTGAATTTCACTTGAATCTACTGTAAGCTCCTCCACAGAGTACTGAGTGCTCATGCTTATGATACTAGAGATTTCTTTATAAACACAAGCTTCCAGGTAACAGACCCTGATGCTGCATGCATGAGCATGCTATTCTTATTTTGCTCGAAGTCTGTAGGATTTGTGCTAATTGTAGCTATATAAGGTGGGCAGAGTGAGCCGAAGAAATGATCTGGGTCTTCAATCCTCATGGTGTCACCTGAATTACTGGTATAAATATACTTCGATGTGATATTTGCTGTTATTTTTTTTTATCAGTTAAGCAACCCATTCTCCTCTTTCAACTCTCCTGCATTCCCTTTATACCTTTATGTTATCTGTATATAGTTTTTGGGGGTCCTAGTCTAGGCCTCCTGGTTGCTGGCCTGATTGACAAGGCTGGCAGACGTAGATCGATGTACTGTATCCACTGACTGGAAGAACGTTATCAGTTCCTTATTGAAGACAGCCACAGGTCTGTTGGTAATTCACCTGGTGTGTGAAATGAGGGTGTTGAGTTTTGGTCCATTTACACTGAGTTGCCGTTTAGTATATCCCATGAGAAGTAGAGGCGTATATTCAATACGCCTCTACTTCTCATGGGAGGTATTTTTCACTCTCTCACTTTTGGAGGAGTTACTGAGAATGCAGATTTGGGATCAATTTCTCAGGGATTTTCTAGGCGTAAATTATAATGCATCTTTCTCGCCTGCATTCCAAACATATTCAGTAATTTATGTGCTTGACTAAGTTTATACAGGCAGTGAACATTCTCTGTACATTCTCTAGCTCTGCAATTTATTTGTTCTTCTTTTAGGCTTTCTAAGCGGAACCTAGTATTATTTAGCACTTAATATTATTATATTAAAAAAAGAGAGAAAAATATTGTTTATTTATGTTTACTTGCTTAAGTATTACAACAATTTCCGAAATATTTGACAGTGAGTTGTGTTGCTTTAGGAGAGGCCGGGTAAGTCTTGTTATGTGAGGAAGAAGCGTGTGTCTGTCGTGTTCCCACATGAAATCCTCCACCCCACTCACCCACATCCCCCACAACGTAGCCTAACACAACTCTCACCCCAACCCCCCAACCACACGACCTGGGGAAGCCCCTCCTCACCACAGGAACCAATGTGGTCACCCACGTAACACTACACCTTCTCCACACCTGGCTACCCATACCTCGACCCCTCCCCTCACACCCCAACCAGGTCAATCTTCCTCTTGACCGCCTCGTCTTTTATCTTTAACTCACCTGGCCGCCTCTAACCATCTTTCCGTGTAGACCTGAAGACCTAAATGAAAATAAGTTACACAGTTTGGATTTCTTGGGTTAACCTGGGTTATTAACCCTCCAGGGTTAATAATCTTGGGTTATCCTAGGCTATTAATCTTCCAAGGTTAACTCGTAGAAAGTCTTCTAGCAAATAGTAAAAAAAAATCCAGTAATGGCAGCGAGTGATACAAGAATTTTTAAATATCCAAAGCTGGAGTTGATGTCTACGGCGTCTCAATTACTTGGGTTGTAATGTACTGCCTGTATAGTGGTATATTCACTAACAGGGTGAGTGCCAATTCATTAAACTCGGCAATCGGGAAAAATAAATCCATCTCCACTACCCAACTCACCCCAGGAACTTCATCTAGCCACACCTTCAATCCCACTTGGCCACCTTCAACTATATTTCATATAACCTCAGCCAAATCTAGCTAAATTTCGTCAATCCAACTTGTCTCTTCCCTTCACACACTGCTGACACTGCAGTGAGTACTGTCTGAACCATCACGAAATCTCCATCGTCCTACTTAAGTTTCATAAATCAGACTGACAAATTTAATTACTTGAAGTACGTAACCCATCCTGTGTGATGGAATTAATAATAAAAAAAAATAACCTCACCATCAACTTCATCTATGCCCCTCACGTAGCCACATCACCATCAACTTCACTTATGCACCTCACATGGCCACCACCAACTTCATCTATGCCCCTCACGTTGCCACCATCACCATCAACTTCACTTATGCACCTCACATGGCCACCATCAACTTCATCTATGGGCCACCTTCCCACAAGATCTTCCTACAGCTGATCCCGGTGTCGTCTTCCATTGGCAGGCGGCAGCTGTCGCCACAAGGAAAAAAAAACTAGCTTATCACCATCTGTTTCCACTGATACTAATGTGATTATATATATATATATATATATATATATATATATATATATATATATATATATATATATATATATAATATATATATATATATATATTTATAGGGGGTGGTAGGAGAAGAACATATTCAAACAGCTCCGAGGAGAACCTTGAGTTTTCCTTGAGGTACGTTTATTGTCTTCTCTGAAGATGAGGATATATATATATATATATATATATATATATATATATATATATATATATATATATATATATATATATATATATATATATAATGTGTGTGTTGTGTGTGTCATGCCGAATAGGTAAAACTTTCGATTTTGGCTTAAATAGCAATGCTCTTCTTGTCGAATACAGCAAGCGAAAATTTGTGTATGCAATAATATCGCAAAGATCATTCTGAACCTAACGAAAAAAATATATATTTCATTGTGTTTATCATTTAGCTGGATTAGCTTGTTATAATAGGGTTAGGTATGTTTTTTTAAATTTTTTTTGGTACAAAATTATCATTTTTTTTTGAATATAAATGAAAAAAAAAATATTTAAATGTATAAGAGAAAATTTTAAAAAAGACTTAAGTGTGTGTGTGTGTGTGTGTGTGTGTGTGTGTGTGTGTGTGTGTGTGTGTGGTGTGTGTGTGTGTGTGTGTGTGTGTGTGTGTACTCACCTATATGTGCTTGTAGGGGTTAAATCTCGACTCCTGGCCCTGGCTCTTCGCTGGTTGCTACTTGGTTCACTCTCACCTGGCTTCGAAAGCATTATTGTACCTCTTCTTAAAGCTATGTATGGATCCTGCCTCTAGCACTTCCTTCCATTCCTCAGGTTCCATTTCCTGACTACTCTTCTTAACATCCACGTGACTCACGTGTTTTCAAATTGCAACTGTGCCCTTGTGTTCCTATTTCCCGTATCTCAAAATGTCTGTGTCCACCCTATTAATTTCTCTCAGTATTTTGTATGATAATATATCACCCATAGTCTTGTTTTTTTTTCTCTAGTGTCATGAAGTTGAGTTCCCTTAACCTCTCCTCAGAGGACATAGCTTTTGCTCAGGAACTAGTCACGTTGCAAACCTCTGCCCTTTCTCCAGTTACTCGACTTGTCTGACTGGGTGTAGGTTCCATACTTTTACTGCATATACGCATGACTTGCACGTTAATACTGTCGTGAATGACTTTCTTAGATTTCTAAAAACTAGTCTTAAATTTACCAGACGGGCAGTTGCTGCAGTGGTTACTCGGTTGATGTGCCCCTCAGGCGACATGCTTGGTATAATATTCACCCCAAAGTCCTTCTCCTTGAGTGAGGGTTGTAACCTTTGCACTCCGAGCCTGTACTCTGTCTGCGGTCTTCTTTGCCCTTCCCCTAACTTCATAACTTTGTACTTAATAGGATCAAATTTCAGAAACCACTTATCAGACCAGACCTGCAGCCTGTTCATATCCACTTGTAGCCCTTCTCGTCCTTATCTGTTCGCATTCTCCTCACTAGTTTCGCATCATCTGCAAACAAGGACACCTCTGATCCTATCTTTTCCGTCATGTCATTCATATATACAAAAAAATAGTATCGGTCCCAATACCGATCCTTGGGGAACCCCACTCGTCACATACACCCATTCCAACACCTCTTTGCGGACTATCACTAGTTTCCTTCCCGCTAGTTGATCCACTGTAGTGCTGTCGCTGTCATTCCTGCCTCCTCTAGCTTTGCACCAGTTTCTTATGTGGTACTGCATCAAGAGTCTTCCTACAGTCAAGGAAGATGCAATCTACCCACCCCTCTCACTTTGCCTCGAATAGATTTGTGGAACAAGATTTACCAACTCCAAAACGGTGCTTATTGCCATGCACAGACCCACTCCGTTCTAGGTGTTTCAACACTTCTCTTGATGATCTTCTACATAACCTTACATACGATACAAGTCAGTGACACTGGTCTGTAGTTTAACCACATTTGCTGCATTCCACACACTAGCAGTGACCCTGTATCGATTATAGTGAAGATTGTGACTAGGTGTTTACAAAGTGTTTCTGTCCCGTCTCTCAGGACCCCTGGAGAACTATTATCTTGTCCGACTGCCATCGAGGTATCTAGCTCGCACAATAGTTTACTCACCTTTTCTCCTGTCTTATGAAGTGTTTCCAACACTCACTGGTGCACTCTACCAGTTAGGCGCTCTGGTATCATCCCTACTTTCCTCTGCGAATTCTTCCTTAATTTTTTGGGCTGAGCCCACCACAGCTTTCCTGAGCATTTCTCGTGCGCTTTGCTCCTTTCAGTCTAATCACTTAAGTTATTTACTGTTGTCTTCCTCCTAATGTAGCTGTATACCAACTCTGGGTCAGATCTGGTCCTTGACGTTGTTATTTTCAAATTGTCATTAAGATTCTCTATATTCTCATGCATATTAATTTTTGGCTCTTCTCGCTTTCTTATTCTCCAACATTTTCTGCATCTCCGGGTGAACCATGGGCTCACTCTGTTCTTCCCAATGTTTCTTTTGCTGCTGAGTACTGATTTCTCCTCTGCCTTCTGGCACTTTACAGCTACATACTCCGTCATCTCATTCACTCTTTTCCCCTCCAGTTCCCTTTCTTACAGTACTTCATTCAGGAGCTTCCTCATCCCTGTGTAGCTCTCCTTTCTTGAAGTTTGGTTTCTCTTGTCCTTTCCGACGAGACGAAACGTGATGGAGACGGCAAAAGCTGAAATATACAGAGGATATACAACAGTTTAGACCCAAATGTCGTACTGTAGCGAAGAACAAACTTTTATTGAGACAACATATCACTCTGTGTAGTGCTTGATCGCATCGTGACTTGGTAACGCAATACACACAGTGAAATGCTGTCCCAGTAAAAGTTTGTTCTTAAATCTGTTCTCTTTCTTCATTCAATCGTTTGATTCAACTGCCAGAAAACGATTATACTGAACATCGTCTCTGGTAATTTGCAGATACAGCTTCGTGAGAGGTCGACGGGTCTACAGCCTGCTGTTGTGGGAGATCACATCACTAGTCCGAATAAAATAAAATTAAGCTGGACAGAAATAACAGCATTTCATAGTGTACCCCTATCCATCCCTGGAGTCATGGAGGAAGACCAGAGCCATGGACGACCATAGCTATTTTCCCGATTAAAAAAGAAGAAACGTAATAACGGTCTCCGTCGTTAGGCAGGGGAACTGGTCTCCCTCTCAGCAGCCGCTCATCTTTATGGACTACATTTACTATAAAAATAGCTTATTCAGCAAGAAACAGCGATTTTAGATCTCGGAGTTCCTCAAAAGTCATACATGCAATCCAACGCTACAAGCTTTTTCCAAGACTTGAATTCTAGAGTCGTGGATAAAGACATCCAAGGATTGCCACTCCACTTACAGTACTTCAGTGACTTTCATCCAACCCAAGGAAACGAAAAAATACACAACCTGGCTAACAACAAATATAACGTAAGAGGTAAAGAAAAATATTTGTGTGTCCATCAGAATAAGAAGATTCTTTGTAATTCTTACCATTTTCTTCACCAAGACACTTCTACTACCACTACTACTACTACTACTACTACTACTACTACTATCAATAATCATTTGAGTGGCAAAAGTACAGTGTACTTTGATACAGAGTGCGCATGTTCGAATCCTGTTCTGGATTGAGAGATAATATATGAAGAAACATGTCGAACCCAAATACTGTAGCTCTCCACCAGTGCTGGGAGATGCGTTCTGACGCCTTAGACCACTAGGCTACAAGTGCCATATAACTGTCATATGAATATACATAATTACTTACTGACGTAGTCCAACTCCAGGGACTTCGGTGACTTGTGAACACTCACCTGGAAAGAAAAAACATCCATGTAAATTTCAAAACGCGAAATTCAGCCAACGTGAAGGTGGGAGGGGAGGAGGGCAGTTCCTTCTGGCAATCTGGCAATTACGGGGACAAAAAACACGAGAATGACACGTCGCTGCTTGAGTGCCCTCCTAGAGGCAACTACAAGATAATTACAGCCAGGAGGAGACTAGGTAGAGAGGAAGCATCGTGTCCCCCCTGCCCCAGCATGCGGGAGCCATGACCTCGGGGTGAGGAGCAAGCTTGCTACTGCACAGGTAGCCACCCACCACCTGCCTCGGGGCAACATGAACACGCTCTCCTCTCACCTCAACCCTAATGAACCTCCCGCTGTGTACACCAAACTCTGTAGCCAGTTCTACTATCGCTACACCTCTGTTAGGTACTGATAGTGTGTTGGCGAGGGTCGATTCATAGGTCGTGTTTTCACCTTTTTACTGAAAATTAGCTCTGGTAATACCTGTGTTTAATTGTCTTAGTTTTTAGAATATAAGATTCAACTCTTGTGACTGCTCTTAACATGCTTCTGCTTAACCTGATGTAAACATACAGAGTATTTCAGCTTTTACTGTGTACTGTGTACTGTCCCACTTCACTATTGTAATATTGTGGTGTGAGTTTGGTGTCTTTGCGATCCAAATGGATATACTACTGTACTCAATTCTTTTTTCTCTTTTTCTCTCCAGTATGTAAGATTGTGCACTTGTTTGGGTACTGCAGCATCAACTACTTTAATCACTTTAATATCCTGTATAATTCTCCCAATAGTCTTTCAGCTTCATATCATCAGTAAACAGTGTTACCTACGGTTCAATCTTCTCTCGCAGGCCATTTATGTATAGTATTAAGAATAGCAACAATCCTAGTGCTGATCCTTGAAGTACCCCCCCCCCTCTTTTTTCTCTCATCCTGAAACGTTCGCCCTTACCATTACCTGTCTTCTGTTAGCCAGGAGTTCCTTTCTTGTAAACAAATGTCTGGTAGTGAACAGTGCGAAATGTTTCCTTCAGCCCACGAAAATGAGGTCAACCAATCCCAGTCTTTCTTGTTTCCACTGTTCTTTTGTCACATAATTCCAGTAGGTTCGTGAGACAGAATTTGTTTTCCCTAAATCTGTACTGGTTTTTCATGAAGGCTCTTCTCTTTAGTAGCCTAGCCACTCTGTATTTTATCGTTTCTCACATTTCTTTGGAAAATATATAGGTTAGTAACAACGACATGTAATTAACTGCCTCCTGATGTCCTTCTTTTG